TGATCCGTATCCTTGGGCGAGCGTTTTTTTTTTCGCACGAACAAAAGAGATCGACAATACACGAATAACCGGGCCTTTCTAATACTTTCCTCTTTCCCGCATTCGCTCTCGACTTGCGCCGCGTGACGCTAACAATGCGAGTAAAGTGGAGTCTACAATGAGAACTTAAACTATAAAACTCAAGCTTTAAGTCTGAAGCCGTAAGAAATTGACCAATTACAATCAAGTATAAGAAAAACAACTGACAGTGATTGGTCAATTTTTTAAGGTTTCAGACTTAAAGGTTAAGTTTCATGACTTAAGTTTTCATTGTAGACATGCTCCCCTCTCTTCTCTCGGAGAGGAACATCTACTTCTTATATCAAGTTGATTAATTATCATTTTATGATAAAGGTTTATTTGACTGTCGCCAACGTGCAACTTCAATTCTGTATAATTTCTGACTATCTAATAACACTCATATACGAAATAAATACTAAATATATACACGGAGAAAAATAATTTGCTGGCCGAGCAAATTTTCTGCTGGTTTAGCAAAATCTTTTCGTTATTATGTGGACAGCAAAAAGACTTGCTAAGAGTACTAATTATTATTTGCTGGATATAATTTGCTGAATCTACAAATTATTTTGCCATAATGGACTTTTACATAAACAATTGCAGTTTTGCTCCAATATTATTTAGCATCAATAGCAAATTAACGTGATTCTTAGGACAATTCTTTAGCAAAATCTTTTCGTTATTATATGGACAGCAAAAAGACTTGCTTAGAGTACTAATCATTATTTGCTGGATATAATTTGCTGAATCTACAAATTATTTTGCCATAAGAATCATAATGGATTTATACACTGAGAGAAAAGACTGGTAACTATAACAAACTGCATTTAGTTACAGAAATTCATTGAATCTTTAGTAACTAATACTAAATATGATAATAATTACCAAATATTTAATAGATCGGGAGTATGACGTAATTGCATTCACAGTAACATCAATTAAATAATTTAGTAATAGTTACTTAATGTTAAATATTAATATGAAATATATTACAGTTATGAACAGATATTTGATAATTGTTATGAAATCGTTATATCCCATATAATAAAAAATTCAGTATGTACGAGTTCTATTTTGTTACCAGTATAAGTATGTTTTGTTGCAGCACAACGAAAAATTCATTCATTTGCAGCTATTACATCGTTTAAATATCTATTATTACAAATAGTTGATTGAACCTATCAAAAATTTTGTAACTAGTACAAAATCGCTTATTTTGCTCAACTATTCAGTAAGTTTTATTTACCAAATATATTCTGGAAGCAAATAAATTTTACTTTTGTCGAATAAATAATTTATTTTACAGAACTAATTAATTAATAAGTATTGCCATAGCTTTGACCCGCTATATTTACGTCTATCATTTAGTAATAGTAACCAAATTTTGATAATATTTACTAAATTCTTCTCTCAATGTATAAACAGTTGCAATTTTGCTCCGATAAAAAATAAATTTGCTAAAGATATATTATTTAGTATCAATAGCAAATTAATGTGATTCTTAGGACAAATACACTCAACAAATTTTTTCTATCCTGGCAACGAAACTACTTCTGCTCTGATAACGAATAATTTATAAAATTAGTTACGTCAACTAAATTTTTTTGATGTCACTACGAATATGCAGTAGCAACGACGATTTTGCTAAAAGAGCAAAATTATTTTTCTCCGTGTACGAAATATATAATACTCAATATATTGTAAATCTCAAAAAGTAAATCTCACGCAAAGTGTACGTCATTAAGTTCTTTACCGTGAACGTTTCGCAAGGAATGTCCCGCGGAGGAAAGAAACGCAAGATTCTATCACGGAGGAGCGGCCAGACCGGGCTTCGTAAACGAGCATTTTCGCGCTACCGCAAATAATATGCTCCGCGAGAGCCCCGCTGACGCAAGACGCACAATAAAACTTTTTGCCGCTCTCGTCGTTTGCCATTAGAGCGAACGGTACCGTTCTGCATGAAAGCGCGTCGCGTCGTAAATGGTGGCTGCGCCGTTGTTGTAAGTCACCTGACGGCGATGAGAAGCGGCGAAAGGGACGAGCGCGCGAGCACGAGAGCGTCATCATCATCCGCTCGTTCCAGCGTCTCGGCTGTGTGTTACGTGAGAATGCAATGCGTACCCACTGACCGGCTTCACGTAACGTGGCGGCAGGTACGGATCCACGCTTCATTACGGCTCATTCTCGCGACGCGTCATTCCCGAGACGCGAGGAGCGCGAGGTGCACTTATCGAAGTGATAAGAAAAGAGATCACTTTCCTCCTGTCCGTCACTTTTCGTCGAGGAATGGTCATGTCTCCTTCTCGACAAAAGGAACATGAAGAGATTGTTCGATTAACGAAACTAATTACTTTTCTCTTACTTTCACGGAGAAAATGTTATAGTTTTCTTCTCTCTCTCTCTCCCTCTCATATAAATTCTTTCCGATTTTATTGTTTCTATATTACTAGTGAGAAATAGACTTTCACTAAAGTCTATCTTGCTAAGGAACATAGTAAATTTCGCTAGAATTTTTTTTTAATAGCAAGCTAGTTAATAGCTAATTAATAGCAATAGTAGTAACACAAACAAATTCTTTAATATGTGCTTTATTAAAGCACATTTTATATCCTAAAAAATATCTAAAAGGTAAAAAATATTGATTTGGTGAGTATTAATAACATACTTACTTAAACAAATTCTTCTATTTATAATATAATATAATATAATATAATATAATATAATAATATATTGATCTATTCGTCAGTTATAAATTTCTAAAATTTTTACTGTAAAATTCTTTCTCTCTCTCTTTCTCTCTCTCTCTCTCTCTCTCTCTCTCTCTCTCTTTGTGTGTCTCTCTCTCTCATTGTATTCTCTAAATTTCCGCGATACTCTAAAATTTCACTCGAAAAATAGAGTTGACCATCGAATTGCTCGAATTCGAGGGGATTTTTTGCTCATATAGAGTGAATTCTTCATTCTAAATCGTCGAAATAATCGTCGAATAAATCTTCACTCGAAATTGAAGAATGAATCTCTGACACATGTCACGGAGACATATTCGCTGTAATCTATTGAAAGATTGTGTAGAGTCAGAATCCACTCTAAGCTTGAGTGAGACATTCACTCGTGCGATTTCAAGTGGTAATATTTTCACTATCGCTTCAAGTAAAAATACAGCTCACTCTTCGCTCGTTTTGAGTGAGATTCCACTTCAAGAAATATAAAGAATATCTGCTGCTTTTCGTCGAGGAAGAGTTACATCTCTTCCTCAACGAAAGTGACATAAGAGCTCCTTCGAAACGATATAAAAGAGATACAAAAGTTTCTAAATTAACGAAACCAACGCCTCGACAATATCCAATCTAAGATCATTTTTGCCTGTAATTGAATTACGGCTTTCGAGTTTCGCGCAATTATTGAACAATTTTTGAATACTATCCATATGTGTACGAATTTCATATGTATTTGCAATTAGAGCTTTAAATTAAATTAGATCTCTAAATTAAATTATTTATAATTAGACCTTTAAATTTGCCATCAAGTTTGTCGGTTGTGGTTTTCTGCAATGCCCTGCATGCGTAACGTTCCGCACGAAAGTACTGCTCTAATTTTAGCGCAAACGCGCGACAGCCCGCGGTTCGCCACGCGAGCGCCCCACCTTCCTCCCGCCCGCGGCGTGAAAAAGAAGAGAAAAATTTAATTAACCAAAAAAACCTCACTGTGGGGCCACGTAAGCGCTCGCTTAATTAAGATACCGATCGTCGACCCGTTATAACGCTTTTACACGGGCGAGTGGCGGAGCGCGGCCTCGAAAAGTCGCACACCGGTGAAAATGGCGTATGACTTACTGCAGCTGGTCACTGTGCCGAGAGGAAAGCCGGAGAGACGAGATCGCCGGTTATGCAAAAGGCGAAAACGGTCCCTCGGCCACGTGTGCGCGCGAACCAATGCAATGTCATCGAACTTATATAATGCGTCGCTCTTCTTTCAATTACGCGCACATCTAACCGCGGATTTAAACCCTCGATTTCCCCAAACGACGCTTCCTACAATGTTCCTCCTGTTCTTTATCATTTTTATCTCAAATAACCACGTACACGTGTGTATTTACAAACACATGCTTACATTGAGAGAAATTAACCGATAAAAATTAACAAACGAATATTTCCAATCAAAATACCGATGAATTTTTATATCCGATCAGGACATATACGATAAAAATATCGGTTCATAATTTCTTGATCGGTTTATCTGATAAAATGTCATTATGATCGAAAGTATCCGATTAAATTTAATCGGATATCCTGATCGGATATAAAATTGATCAGAATTTTATCAGGAATATCCATTTATTAATTTTTTTATCGGATAATTTTTCTCAGTATAACATGGACAGTTTCAACCAAAAGTGCTAATACGTCAAAACGTGAAAAAAAATGATTATTTCCTTATGGGTTTTTAAACATTTTGCAAAATTTATTGATATTCTCTCGCTTTAGGGTCAAAGCTGCGTAAATCATGAGTTATAAATCATATTTATAAATATTTAGCAAAGAGATTTGTAGAGCTTCTTCGTGTTGTGTTGTGTTAAGCTATTACTTAACATAACTTTCTAGCAATATTGTCGCGAAACAACTACCGCAACTGCCGTCACTTTTCTTCATCCCAAATACTAACCGCGTCCCTCTCTCTGCGTTATGTACAAAAAAATAGCCGGTCCACTCGCCAACTACGCCATCCGGGAGTCGCCCGTCTCTCAGAAGGAGGCAGCGAAGATGCTGGGTCCTCTCCACGTACGGAGAGATTCCGGCGAGAGGCGCGACCCGCGCGGAATTCCTCCTCGCGAGGGATGGCCCGCAGCGGCAATCGCGGATAGGCGCGCAGGTGAGAGGGCCCCGTGAGAGAAGAAAGGTAAGAGGTCCCACGAGGAGGCAGCGTGGCCAGGGATCCCTACCGCGCCGCGAGGAGACGCGACGACGGGCGCTCGGTCGAGAGGAAGAGCCGCCGCGAGCTGAGCTGAGTCGGGCCGAGGAGATCGCGCCGAGGCGTAGTGCATCCGTCGCATTTCACGGTGGACGAACGTCGGGGCCCGGCCGTCCGCACGCCGCCCATGCAACGCCGGACAAAATGCCGATTAGCTTGCGTACTCTGTGTAAGTGTCCTCCACGTGAGAGCCCAGCTCCGTTTAGCACGTGGGAACCCGGGTCCGCGAGGATTCGGCTGGTCCCTCCCGCGATCGACTATTGTGCGCCGCCGCACACGTGTGACAGTGTGATCGCGACCTCTCGTTCTTACCTGAGGCTCGCGCGTTAGCCCACAACCACGCAGGTGAGACGAACGAGCCCACAGGTAGGTAGGTCGCGTTGCTTCCGTCGAAATCGTCGGAGGCGAATCATTAGTTTTCGTAAAGATCGCGCCGGACCGCCGCGACGAGGTGATGGAAGCGCGTCCGCGATCGTGAGTCGGTTAAGTCATCATCGGTGGGAACTCGATGACTCGGTGCTGAGGATGGGTCATGAGTTCGCCGAGGGTCTCCCGCGACTGTGGCACGTGATGCGGAATCGTGATATAACGTTGCGAGGTGTACTCTCGTTTTATGAAATATAGATCGATTTAGACGCAAGTGATGATCCATGCTGAGATCAGATAACCGGAGACGATTGATCGTTCGTTAAGTACTTCGTCAATTCTAACAATTACTTCTCTAGCAATTATTCTCGGCCGGTATTTCTGCGAGAATTTGAAAAATTTTACACGGAAAAAATATTATATATATATATATATATATATATATATATATATATATATATGTGTGTGTGTGTGTGTGTGTTTTTCTTCGAATAAATTCTTTTCAATTTTAATATATTTCTAATGGTGTAGAGATATAGATTGTCAGTAAGGTCTATTTCAGTAACAAGTAAACCTACCCAAAAGTTACACTTCGTTTTCTTTCTAATTTGGCACAAATATAGAAGTACAAAAAATATTATGTCATATTTTTTTAATTTTGGCCCATTTTGAGTTTCATGGATAGTTTATAACTTTTTAATGTTCTCACTTCTATCATCAACATGTGCAACAAAAATGTATAAGAAATAAAATTGAATACAAGATATAAGCGTTTTTGGTTTGCTGATTATGAATATGAGGTCAAATGTGTAAAATTATTTATATAAATAATAAAATGTCTAAACAAAACATGTAAAAGTTGAAAAAAATTATGTATACAAATAATTTCTCGGTTTAGCCGAGATTCGAACCATTTTTGACTAATTTAGCACAGATTTGAAATATTTGGATTGAAATCTCGGCTAAAAAAATTGGTTCGTGTCTCAGCTATGTCGATTTTATTAAAATTATTTAACTATATCTTGTATTCAATTTTATTTCTTATGCATTTTTGTTACACTTATTGATTATAGGAATGAGGACATTAAAAAGCTATAAACTGTCCGTAAAACTCAAAGTGGTCCAAAATGCAAAAATATGACCTAAATATTTTTTGTACTTCCACATTTGTGCCAAATTAGAAGGAAATCGGATTGAACCTTTTAGGTAGGTTTACTTGTAAGAAGCATAGTAAATTTTGCTAAAAACAAATTTAACATCACACTTTACTTTTCCTAAAACATATGTAACACATATGAATTAATTTAATCATTAAGTTTTAAATCACATCTTTTAACACATGTTTAAGAGACGTGTAAATTATAATTGAATACGCTTAAATGTATTAAACGACATGACTTAAAACGCTAAGAAACATGTATAAAAAGGTTCAGCCAAAGCAATACACTTAGACTTGCAGTGAGTTGTTCATTAGATAATAATATATTTGTACTTTAATTTAATAATTTACGTTACTTTATTTTGTAGAAATTTATTCTGTTTTATTTATGTATATTTTATTTATGTATAAGAGTTTTTTTCCTGTTTATTAATAAATAATAATAATGAAAAGATAATCAATTATAATGCAGAATATCGATCTATTTGTCGGCTACAAAATTCTATAGTAATTTCTACTATAAAATTCTCCCTGCATAACAACACTTCTAAGCGTCTTCAGCATCGCAACGCTGAGGAGAGTTCAATGTGCTTCGAAACGTTTGGTATTGTTAGTACAAAAAGATTTATCATATTTTTTCTAAGTGTTTGTAGGAAGTTTGTGTATTAAAAAATATATAGGAAGTCCTTATTATATATATATAGATGTTTAAAAAAATATTGAATCAATGTTGTTCATTTTATTCGTGAAACTTACTATTTCTTTAAAATTGGATTTCTTTTAAATTATATTTTCTAATATACTTTAATAAATATTACATTTTCTATTCCATTTAAAAAGACGTCGTTTAAGATGTCTTTAAGACGTTTTATGTCCCGATTTTAGATGTTGTGTTATGTGGGATAACTCTTACTGTATTTATGATCATTTTTGCTATGTTTTATAACTTACGTAACAGTGCCAGTCTATTCCCGGACTACTAAAGCTGCATCGTAATTTTTACTACAACATTCTCTCCGTGCATGGCCAATTTATGGTACGACGATTTAGATCAAACCACGTAGACGTAAGATTGCCTTTGGCAGCTTCTTTATATGCATAGCTCGCGCCGTAGATTCAGAAACGTGGATTCAAAAATGAATCGTCAGAATCAATTAAATGACACTCATACGTCGCGACGTATACACGAGTGAAATAAATTATCATTACCGCGAACCGCTAATTACCGAGTGTGGCGACTCGAAGTTAATTGTCGGGTAAAAGCTAAAATCATGAAATATTTATATGCCGGTCTCTATGAAGATCTTAAGTACTTGCTCTCCCCTCCGGTCCATAATGTATGCTAAGATTATGTAAGACGCAGTCGGAGCGGATTCTCGTGGATTCTCGTCAGTAGCGCGATTAATCAATCACCGGCGATCGAGTTGCAATTACGCGAACTACTTATCCGCGTCGTGTCCGCGACGGTCCATTCATGCAAACACGAGCTGACGTTTGCGCAATGCTGAAAGGAGCCCCGACGGCGCTGTGACGCGCTCATAAATTAGATTGAGTCTATCTATCTCTCACGATGTATCCGCGCAGTGTTACGTATCGAGATTATTACGCCTCTTTTCTTTCTGCCTTTTCTTGCCGGGCTTTCGGCAATCTGACGCGTTGGACGCGCAATTTGCACGGCGCGCTTACAAATTGCGTCGATTGCCGTGAATAATCTCGCCGCTGCCGTGTGAAGCACGTCGACACTTTGATTTAATGTTATTGGGCATGTAGCTCGGCTTGTATGACACTTCCACTTACACGGGCTCGCCGGCCGTTCGGGTGTCCTACACTCGCGAATTTATGGCGGTTTCTCGATCTCGAGTCAGTCGAAAAAGACGCGAAATTACGTGGCCAATACCCCAGCACTGAGTCGTCCGACTCATGTACTTTTATTTATTTTCTACTTCTTTGTCCATAAACACTGTGAGAACTGTAAACTTTCACACATGTCACATGTCCCAACTTGTGCGATCTAATTTCTGTGTACACTCGTGTTCGGAAAGTTTGTCTTTGTGTGTCAATTTCCGATTTGAATTATCTGTTTACATATTTGTCTTGAGTGAAATTAACGCAAAAATTAAAGTTGACAAATCGAAACGTGCGAAACATGTTATTTAATTTAACAACAAACTTTTTGCAGTACAGCCTTCGAATCTTCAACGTTAAAAGGATGGCAACGACACGACAAGCGTCGACTTGACTGTTTAGAAGAAGCGTTCTTCCTGCCGCGGCTTTTCGTTAATTCTGCAATGCGTCGAGCGGCAATTTCTAGATATTTGTCTTGCGGGTTTTATTTGTTTGCAAGGCGAAAAACCGTGCAGCCACCCGTCAAATTGGCCGGTCGAAACTGATTTAAGTGGTAGCCGTGAAATCCGATTTGTCTTGGATTTCAGAGTCCCGCGAATATTAAAGGAGCGCTCGCGAGGGAATACTTTCGCCGGCGGAAATTGGCGCCGCTAATTAGTTGGCTCGTTCTGCCGTAAACTCGAGAAACATTTTCTCTCGTTCTGCACGAGGAAAAGTATCAGGTGTCCTCCGATCCGATTGTATTCAATTCGCGACGAGTCAGCGGACATTCACGGGCGATTTCTTGCAAAGATCGGGCGACGTGTGTAGCATCGAATCATAGCCTCGCTCTATCACGACCGGCAGCCGTTGGTCTTCTACGTTCTTCGTGGCCTTTGAGTCTTTTTAATGCTGTTGACGCAGATGAAAATGGCAGGGACAATGGCGAAGCATGTGTGTGCTCGAGAGAGCATCACTTTGGAGTTAATGTTATCGACCGATTGGCCTTTCGAAGGATTTCGCGTATTTATGAGCGTTATGCTATGGGCAGTCACGTTGAAGTTACGGACATCGCGTCGTCGACGACTTTATGGAGGACTTTATCGCGAGGCATTATCGAGCCAAGCATTGCAACTAATATCTCGACTATTCGACGACAGCACAATCGGCCTTAGTTATGCAAGAATAATCTAATCCGCAAAATTACGATTTTTGAGTTCTTGTTTTATCAATGGATATTCCATAAGTCTCTCTACTTAAACAAAGATCGTAAAGAAAGATCAAGAAAATCCAATTCTTATAGGCGCCTATGTAAAAATAAAAAATATGCAAAGATAGTGTTAAGAGTGTATTTAATGTATAATTATTTATGTAACGTCGCAAAGTTTTGAGCAGATGTATATAACTTTAGCCAGAACTAAGTCTCCGATCAAGCGTACTTGGGAATTAACGTCGATTTTAATCCTCTCAGTACCATCAAGAGAAACGTCGACTAGGTAGTGAAGATAATGTCGGCATTGCGAGGCCGGGAAAATGTAGCTTCGCCGTCATCGCTCGAGCGGTCAACGAGAGCTCTCGTGAATCTTATTACATAATGCATTGACAATTATCTCGCTTTGCGCTTTTCGAAATGTCACTAACTGAACGCACTCGGCGATCGCGCGTCTCCCTTTCAGGGAAAAACCTTCGCGCGAAGGAGACCTTCCGCGAGAAAAGCGAGACCTCGCGATAATAATACCGTCAAATCCAGCTCTTCGCGTGTCGATTGTCCTAAGCGCGAGAATGAATTATATGAAAGAGTATGAGGAATATTTTCGCGCGCGATAGAATCAAACGGTGAGTTCTCGCGCGCGCGCTATCCTCGTGGAAGGCCTGAGAGCTCCTTCGGGGTCAACTGCCACGTTGTTAGTCGAACGAACGACCGCGTTCGTTCATGGTCATTGCGGATTGAGAGCCACCTTGCCTAATCGATCGTGGAACGCGTCGAATTCAAGCGCGACTTCGCAAAAGCGCTCTACCACAAAGATGTTCCGCTCCGAGCGACCTTTCACGCCAGACTCGTCCGATTGCGAAACCGAAATCGGCCGATATTTAGTGATCGTCGCAATCACGAGCTATTCAGCCATCGTGGATCGATGGCACTTAGAATTCGACGGTCCCATTTGTCCTTATGAAATCTAGAGGGATACATCGAGAGAACGTCCTCTTCTTATTCTCTTAGATCCTTATCCTGAATTCTCTTTTGTCGACGAAAGTATTTGCTTATAACGCAATCAGTAGTCCTACAAGTTATATTTAAGAGCACTTTCATCAATGAAAGAGAGTTCAAAATAACTTTAGGATCTTCCTTACACTGAGAGAAGAATTTAGTAAATATTATCAAAATTTGGTTACTATTACTAAATGGTAGACGTAAATATAGGGCCAAAGCTATGGCAATACTTATTAATTAATTTAGTTCTGTAAAATAAATTATTTATTCGACAAAAGTAAAATTTATTTGCTTCCAGAATATATTTGGTAAATAAAACTTATTGAATAGTTGAGCAAAATAAGCGATTTTGTAGTAATTACAAAATTTTTGGTAAGTTCAACCAACCATCTGTAATAATAGATATTGAAACGATGTAATAGCTGCAAATGAATGAATTTTTCGTTGTGCTGCAACAAAACATACTTATACTGGTAACAAAATAGAACTCGTACCTACTGAATTTTTTATTACATGGGATATAACAATTTCATAACAATTATCAAATATCTGCTCATAACTGTAATATATTTCATATTAAATACTTAACATTAAATAACTATTACTAAATTATTTAATTGATGTTACTGTGAATGCAATTACGTCATACTCCCGATCTATTAAATATTTGGTAATTATTATCATATATAGTATTAGTTACTAAGGATTCAATGAATTTCTGTAACTAAATGCAGTTTGTTATAGTTACCAGTCTTTTCTCTCAGTGTAGTATTCTTCGCAGTACTTATAAAAAATGAATAAAGAATTTTGAGAGAGAGGGGATAATTAATATTAGAAATATTTGCAGGATAAAGAATCCCCAGGTAGCAGCGTCTAAAGACGCTTTAATTGAAGAAGTCATTAAGACGTTATTAATATGTCATTTGATGTAACTCTGCTATCAACGTAGTAGCTTAAACAGAACCGCGAAGACGTTAAAATGACAAGCAGATGACTATAAAAACTCATTTTTTGATCATAATTTTCTCGTCATTTTGATGTCATCGTGATTTTCGGTTCTACTTAGGGCACTTTTATCTCACTGTTTTATCTCCCTCACTGATTGTCTTTCGTCCTTTAGAACTCTTTACCTTCTCTTGAAGAAGTACGTCAACCTTAGTCGGGGTTTATGAAGTGAACTCTCACTTTTCAATGGTCGTGGTGCAATCTATGATATCCATTCACGCGACTCTTTCACGGTCTCTAAGGATATTCTCGTTCGTGCGCAGGTCTCGTGACGGCGGTTTTGTGCAACGTTCAGCGGAGTCTTGAACATGAAATTCCGAGAAGGAGCTTCCTGTCACGCAGAGCGATCGACGGAAGTAGAGGAAGGTACGTTCCCGTGAAGCATCTCATCTTCCGATGATGCGATTTAATTAAACCGCTCTTGCAGGAAGTACTTCGACCCGAACGAGGAAGGCGCTTTCGACAGCTACGGCTCCGCGGGTGGTCAATACGACCCGTACGATCACGTGACGGGTGAGTGCCGCTGCTTATTATTCGCGAATAAATGTTGTATCCATCGTTCTTATATACTATTAGAGAGAATCGTTAATCTTCCACGATTTTTAGACCCTTCGATATTTCCCTGCTACTTTTGCGTCTCGTGACCTTTTCGCTCGCGAGGCTTCCTGGGGCTTGGAACGTTTCACAACTCTCCTCTAGAACTTTCTGTAGCGCCTTCTCATCTTTGGATTTCGAGACTCCTCGTGCCACGCATCGTGTTTCCGACTCAAGTGCGAATTCAAGCGTCTTTTTAATAAGTTTCATAATACTAACTCAAATGGACACGCGCATTATTCGTTTGTACGTTTCATAATAATTTTCTGCCCGCGACTTGAGCATTCTCTTGAGGTAGGACAGTTATCTTTCAATTAATCCTACGCGCGACGATGAAAGGGGAATCGGTGTCGACGCGTCGATAATTGCAAGAGCCTTCTTCACAGCGCAAACGATGATTTTATGGAAATCACGATTTTACGCCGCGAGTTTGTTCCCCGGCTACTACAAAGACTGTCCTCGTTATCTAGGAGGACTCTCGAGTTGTCTCTTCGACTACCGTCACAAATGCACACGATCAAATGCACGCGAGCAAGTATTAATTTAATTCACGTGGCTCGATGAGGCGAGTGGATTATCACTCGCGTGAAAGGTGGCATGGCGTTTATATCGTAAAAAAAAAAAAGAATCGCGGATAGGTCATGCAAAATCTCACCGGCCGCACGGATGCCGCAAATTACTGAGACGTTATCTGCGTGTGTTCTCATGAACGATAAGTGCAAAGTTTTAAATATCATGGACGTGTCGTGTGATCGTCGCGTCTATTCTAATGATCGACGTCCGAAACACCTACAGACAGATTCTTTGTCTCATACTATCTTTCTTTATTATTGAGGACGTTATTTCAAACACGGATTTTACTGTTTCGTTTGATGTAAAAGAAATTAATTTAATACGTTGATAATTGTGAGAAAAAATCATTCAAAACATTTGGAAAGATTTTTCCTCAATTATTAACATATTGAGTTAATTTTATTTCTACACACACATATATATATACATATAAGAAATTAAATAAAACAGTAAAACTCATGATTGAAATAACGCTTATTTAATAGATAGTAATTAATATATATGTGTAAAAATTAAATTAATTTAATATATTAATAATTATGAAGATATATATGTATCAATTCATATACTTCCAAACATTTCAAAATTTTGGAAAGTTTAAGTCAAGGAGAGAGTATATACAATGTTTGATAATTGAGTACAATTTCGTATTTCTCTTCTTGCAATGACCGCAAGAACTGTACAAGCACTCGTGTTAATTTATAATTTTCTTGCTAATTTTTTGTGCGAAATCTTTTTATTTTTTAGTGAAACTTGTTGAAAGATTCAGGTACAGCGCATACCATTATAAGTTACATTTATTTTTTCTCCTTCTCTCTTTCTCTTTCATTTCTTCTCTTCATCCTTTCCTTCTTTTTTTCTGTTTAGCTATCTCTATCGCTTATCTCTTTTCTCCGTGTTTTATTTGTTTCCTTGACACCTCTTCTTGTTTATATAACTATTTCGCTTTTTTTCCTTTCCCGCTTGATTTTATCTTCTTTTGAATAAACTGTCATCTCTATTACTTATCTCCTTTCTCTATTTTTTATTTGTTTTCTTGACACTTCTCCTTACTTATATAAGTATTTCGCTTTCCTTTTCTTTTTCCGCTTTATTTTATCTTCTTTTGGATGAATTGTGATTAAAACAAATATATTATGCTTGCAAGCAATACACTTTCCACATCTTTTTACTGCTATTGTTAGACTAAATGTTTCCAGATTAATTAATCTAATACATTAATAATTATGAGGAGAAATCATCCATATTATTTAGAAAAATAAAGTTAAGGAGAGTATATATGATTTTTAATAACCCCGAGAATTTTTCTATTTGCAATATTGAATATTGTAAAGCTGTACAAATATTTATGTTATCTTATTGTTCTTTTTTTAATTTTTGTAAATTTTGTACGAGAAGAGTTCATCAAAACTACGATTATTCAAGTTTCTCGCAATTATAAGATTTAAGAACAAGGTAGTCACTTTACAGAACGTCCTGGATAACTTGGAATAAGAGTAGTCTCTAAATGGCATATCTTGATTCGTCGCGAAGTGAAGAATTCGCTTATACATTGCAGATCTATCCGACATAAGAAAAAATGTGCCGGGTGAGCCAGGCGTCGACTATCCCGCCTACTCGACATTACCTCAGACAGGATTCACGTGCGAAGGACGTTCACGTGGTAAATACATAGCACAGAATAAATCATACAGCCGCGGCTCGCGCCGCACACCTCCGAGCGATCGTTGTGTCCGCCACGACATATAAATACCAGGCATCGTTTGTTTGGGTCACGTGGGAAAGCGAAGCCTTCACTTCACTTTGCGCGTGTGAGCTCATAGTCACCGATTACACCGTCTAAACTTCGCAAGATTGTGAATCGCTCATGAACGCGCGATCAGCTGTCAGTTACAAATGAGACGTCACGATGCAGAATGAAGGAATCAATGCTATGAAATGATTAACAACGCGTAATCCTATTTAGCCAACTAATTGCTCGAGCGAGGTTTCACTCGTGATTAAGAACAGCCGGTATAGCAAGTACTTGATGGCCGAGCTAAAGAACCGTCATCGACATCCGGATTGTCATCGTCCGTGATGAGCATCCAAGTTTCTACGGCGCGAATATTTTTCATTCCATTACGTTCCTGCTGACCACAGATATTAGATAATCCGCCGAGGCGAGAGAGTTCTCGCGAGTGCACGAAAAGAAACTGCGCGCGTCGGCATGGAGCAAGAGAGATGATCCGTGTGTAATTGTTGCGCAAGTCGAATCGCGAAACCTATGTGTATTATGTCACGGTACGCATAACGCGAATTTCTCTAATTCATTCTTACCCATTTCGCTCAACAGGCTACTACGCCGACGAGGCAGCCGGCTGTCAGGTTTTTCACGTGTGCCACGACGTGCTGGTGTCCTCGTTCCTCTGCCCGATAGGCTCGACTTTCAGCCAGAAGCTGCTGACCTGCGACTGGTGGACCAAGGTCGACTGCTCCTCCACGAACAGATACCTCGAGGTGAATCGCAACAATTATCAGGTGGACGACGACGAGATGATCCGCAACGCGTACGCGATGATCAGCCTGCAGTCCACGGAGGACGTCACCAAGGACGGCCTGGTGGACCCCGACAGCGGCGCCAGGATCATCGACTACTCCACGCTGGGCGGCAGGACAGCGGGCTACACGCCCGGGTTCCGCAGGATCACGGATTACCCCGCCGTCGACGCGACGGGCAACGACCTGCCGAGCGGTCTCGAGGACTATCCGCAGCGGGACGACCGGCAGATTCTCGACTACAACCGCTACCAAGAGAAAATAGCAAGGGCTAATCCCGCATACCAGGGTAAATTCTATCTCGAGGACAAGGGACGGTCGCCTTACCACGCCTCTCCGATCATCCGGCATGATTATCAGAGTCGATCAACAGCCAACAATGAGTTCCAGGATGACTATCGCAGACCGGACGGTTTCACCAATCGGCTGCAGGCGTCCTACGCGCCTACTGTGCCCACCGTCACCACCACCACGAGGAGATTGTACTCGCCTACGGTCCCGACGACCTATCGGCCTTCCACGCTGGCTTACAGCAAGCTGGACCTGCTAATGGATAGTTCCGATCATCTATACGCGCACAGTAAGAGTCTGGTGACTCCTCCCACGATTACTCGTCAGAACGATGACTCGAAGAATGCGGGCTCGAGAGCGCGCGAGACACGCCACGACGGGCCGAAGAAATCGGGGAGGGACTCGCCGCCGAGAACGGACGGCGATGATCGACAGGATGACGCGGTGCGTCTCGACCTCGAGGAGAAATCGGAGCCGAGTTTCAGGATCAACGTGACCGATACGATCGACGAGGACGAGGTCTTCAGGCAGCAGAACGACAGGCCGGTGGTTAGAAATGACGACGACGGGAGCGCGGAAGACATCGAGACGAAGGACAGCATCGGAATCGTGCGAGCGCTGAGTAATGCACGAGCAACGATCGCTGTGCGGCGTCAGGATCCCGTGACCCAGGTATTGAAGAACGAACGAGCGGATCCGATCACACTCCCTCCGTTACGGACGAGTGGCAATCGCTCCCCGGGATCTCACGACAACGCTAGCCCCGCGGGCTCGATTCTGAAGCAAACGGACGCAGTCGTGATCAATGAGACTGTGTCGACAGAAGATCACGAAGATGCCGCGAGCTCGACGGAGAGGAGTCTCGAGAAGACCGAGTACACGAGGAGCTTCGGCGACAGAACGACTCCGTTGGTGGCGAACGGGAATCCGCTACCAAGAGACGACGATTCTTCATCACGAGAGTCGACTGTCTCGATAACCGTGAAACCAGCGGCGAACACGACCGAAAGTTTCGTCGGGAGGACTCACGGCGAACTTGCCGATCGCTCTTCGTCCAATGAGAGCCAAATGATCGCGGATCAGAACTCGTCATCAACGAAAGCGCTGCCCAGCTTGGACGACGAGTCCACCGCGAACCTTGGCTTCGGGATTCTCCGGCCGGCGTTGTTCCTGCGACCTCCATTGGAAGGCTTCTTCATTAACATCCCTGAAGAGACGCCTTACACGACGATCGACGACAATTTCAAGGTATCTTGGAGCCCAGGAGTGACCACCACCGAAATCCCGTTCCTCTCCAGCGCACCCTCTGGCAGCAATCAGGACGAATCGCCGGCGTCCAACGAGAATATCGACGAGCAAGCGCTGATCGATTACGCGGACGAGGGTTTGCCGGTGACGACGCCTAGTCTGGAGGTTCAGCCCGACCGAGGGATCGTCGAAACGTCTACACCCATACCGTGGTTGGTTCCTTCGTGGCACGATCGATCGTTCGCGAACGTCCCCGTGACCGATATCGTGCCGCCGATCGTGGATTACAACGACGGCTTTGGGGACTTCATCCCGCCGGATAGAGAGTCGGACGAACGCTCGCACACGACACAGTTCGGTCGTACAGACCGCGTGGAATCGCCGAGAGAGCAGAGCACTGCTCCTACGAGCTCGAGGAACAACAGTGAAGCGGAACTCCTGAATCAGTACAACACAGGGTTCGAGTTTACCATTAGGGACGCTGTCAGGACTCAAGCGGAATCGAAAATAGGCTGGAGACCACCGTGTCACTCTTCAACGTCCGACGAGCGAACGAGACTCTGCGAGACGAGTTCTGTCGCCCCACAAGTCGCAGTCTCCACTCCCAGTGTCGAAGAAAAAACAATTTCGATTGGCACCAAAACGACTACGAACACTTCAGAACAGCTGGTCTCTTCGGGCAACACGAAGTTATCCGAGAAGCCGGTTACGCCTGTCCCCGATCAATCTTCGACTTTTACCACGCAATCTTCGGTTATTATTGACAGTCACGTCGACGTAGAAGGTTCGACTTTGAGGGCGATTACGTCGAGAGGCTTGTTCCAGACCAAAAAACTTGAAGAGACAATAGAAGCGACAACGACGAGTAGTTTACTGCACTCGACCCGTCCAGGATCCTTCAGACAGATCGAGGAAGCAATTGATCGGCAGAATTCCCCGTATGAGGTGTCCTTGACAGTAAATAAAGACGAGGACTTGGACACGACAGCCGACGACTTCATCAGTCGATTAATCGCTCAGCATCAGCAGCCGACTGTCGTTCTGAAGGACCAGCTGGGTGACTTTGAAATCGTCAAGTCGGTCGAACCGGAGGAAGAAGTCACCGTCGTTTCGCAAACGCCCAGGTTGCCCGGTACTAGTCACTACACGTCTCTGAACGGAAGCAACGGCAGTTTCCTGGTTTCGTCAAATGACACGGCCGGTCAGTCCAAGGACTCGGAGTCGAACGTGAGTATGTTGACTCTTCTCCAGCTCATGGCGGAACTGTTGAAACTGGACAGGCTGCCTCGGCCGTTTTCAACGAAAGATTTACGTAATGCTGAGCTACAGGCTCCGGCGCACCTGGACGAATCGCCATTCGCCACGACATATCCGCTTCTCGATCATTCGCAAGCCAAAACGCCCTTTGGAAATGTCATCTCAAAGACGTCAGTCTTCGATATCTTGAACATACCCGCTGACATCACCGAGATGAAAACCACGCCGAACGTAGGTCGAAATAAACAACCTTTCGCCACAGCGAGTCCATTGTTGGATCACTCATCGGTCAGGACATCGTTCAGGAACGCCAACTCCAAGACGTCTGCATTCGATACGTTGGCAACTAAAGCTGACAACTCCAAGCCGAGAACCTCGCTGAATCTGGACGTGAATGAACCTTCACAGTCTTTCACAGAGAATCCATTATTGGATCAGTCGTTTCAGGTCAGAACGCCGTTCAGAAATGCAGATTCCAAGACGTCTTCCTTCGATGACACTTTGAAGACAACTTCCAACGTTGCTTTCACATTGTCTCCCGACATTTCTCCCCGAGTAAATTCCGATCGTGCAGCGAATACGAAGACGAGACGGCCGAAAGCAAACGGTAGAGTCAACCGACCATTTCAGAAGCATGAAATCCTGGAGCAATTGACAGAGAACTTTGGGCAGCCTCTGTATCGCGCTGACTCAATCCACCGGTCGCTCGTTTTCGACCTGCCGCAGGTGCAGAGGAATTTAGACTTTGAGACCGGCTTACCGATAGAGAAGAGCGAGCATGTGATTGACGAAGCTGAAGAAGACCCGGAGTCTTCTACAATGAGAACGACGACGACGACGACGTCGACAACGACGCAAAGAACGATCACGACCGCAGAGTCTGAGAGGACCATCGTCGAGACTGAGTTTGTTCCTTCCATAGGATTTTCCTTCGACACTGACGAAGGTCGCGAAGAATACGTTGAGGCGATTCTCGGAGGATTGATCGACAATCACGCCGGTGACGTCACCAGGAACGAATCCAGCGTCGCGCAGTTAACGCGTGAAGCTCCAAAGAATGAGACCTTGTCGAGACCCGAACGACACGAGAATTCGAAAAACGTTTGAAGAATCTCTAAGGGTCGACTCTTCAATGGTAATTTAAACTTAGATTAGTTTAAATTTTGCTTAAGCATATATCGAATTGTTAGAATTGAGTTTAAACTAAAATTTTAAAAGTTTATACTAAAGATTAAATTAAACTTAAGATTTAGTGAAGATACAATTTAAGCTTAAGTTAAAAGAGTTTAAACTAAAGACTAAATTGAACTTAACATTTAGTTAAGGTAAAGTTTAAACTTAAATTGAGAGTTTAAATTACTGTTAAATAATTAAACTGAGAGTTTAAATTACTGTTAAATAATCGACCCTAAAGCGTGTGTAAAACATCAGAAACATCTTTTGAAGATCTTTAGGATGCTTCCGATGAACAGTCTCACCGTTACCGATTACTTGTAATCAGAGTTGTAAAAATATTAATTAAATTTTCCTCGATTTAATAATTGATTTGAACAAATATGTTTCAATTCAACTAATTAACAATTGATTCGAGCAAAATCAATCGAAGAACGTTGAATTGACGATTGATTTCAACGAATTTAATTAAGAACCGTTCAATAGACAATTGATATGAGCGAGGGGAATCAAAGATCGTTCAATTGGGCTTAGCAAATTTAATTAAAGGCCGCTTAATCGACGATTGAACTTGACAAATTTAATTAAAGGTTGTCTCACGATTGATATGAACAAATTCAACCGATTCAATCAAAAAGCGTTTACTCGATTACTCAAGGTTACAATTGGTTTTGTGAATAATATTTGTTCTCTCAAAATATTGTGTGTGACATCGTTGAAAATGCTGATGAAAGAATAGAAGCTGCGTTGAAGAATCCTACCGTTGAAAGAGCATTCAGCATATCAATTGTTATTTAAATGTCCTTTAATTAAATTTGCTAAGTTTAATCGTCAATTAAGCCTTTAATTAAACTTACCAAGTTCAACTATTAACTATACAATCTTTAATTATATATTTTATTGGTCCAATCTCTCTTAATTAGATTATTTATCTTTATTTACCTTAAATATATGTTTAGATCTTTAGTCTTAAATTGAATTTGTTGAAGCCAATCGTCAGTCGAACAGTTTTCGATTGAATTTGTTAAAATCAATTATCAATTAAACAGTCTTCAACTGAATTGGCCATATTATTCTTCAATTAAATACGATAATTAATTGAAAGACGTAATTAATTATTTGCAACCCTGTTTGTAATATAAGTGTTTGATTATATCTAAAAGAGTAGTGAGCAGTAGGCATGCATTTGAAGTTACATTAACCTTTTCGTTCATATTAATCGCAAAATATATACTATACAGTTATAGTTGAGAGAGGAGACAGTATAACAGTTTATGCATGTGACTACTTTTCTCGCGTCAAAACGCGTATATTTCCTAATATGTGACCGTATAGATAAGATTTTGTACACTGTAAAATGGATTATGTCGTGAAACGAATTTCCTAATGTGATCATATAGATAAGGTTTCGTGAAAAGCATTTTATTGGTATCAGTGTTTCGCTCGCGACACAATGGGCTTCGATAAATACCCGTAACGTTTCATCCAATAGTGGTCTTGCTCATGTACAAGAGGACAGAGTGTATGTGTATGTAACAAATAGCGTGTGTATTCGGTGTGCGCGTGCAAGAGAACGTATATCTAGCATTGCGAATATGTCGTCTAACCCTCAGTTTGATATTCTTCCCTTTTATATATATTTTTTTAATATATCTATCTCGTTATACAAATTTCAACTGTGTGATCGATAAATACTTGCTCGTCCTGTACATCCTCCTTCCACAGTTTACTCACCATGACAACGATAACGACGCCAAACTCGTTCACTATTCAGTATTGTTCGGTGTTTCTCCAAGGCGACCCAATCGACTCTGAATGTGGTTCATCGAGAAACGTTCAATTACACTCTGAAACGAAGTTAACGGATTAACTCGGAAACCAGTTGCTTACAGCGACAACTTATCTACTTTCAATCAATTGTAAATAACCGTAAAAGTTGTATATCGATCTTATTAAGAAATAAACTTTTGAAAAAGTGGAATGAGAGATATTGTGTATATAGGATAAAGGGAAAGTGAATTGTGGTGCCTCTTGTCTCTCCTAAAGTATCTTAAAGAGGTATATAAGGTTATTTCATGTATTACCGATATAAAATTTATTTTGGAAACATTGATTAGCCGCTGAAGGAAATTCGTATATCTCGGCGAAATGTCGAGACCTACTAATAACATGGAGAAAGATACTAATAAAAACGATGACGAAGAGCAAAATGAAATTGGCGAACTGGACTTTCACAGACCATCCATCTATCTAGTCGATTATCGGTATCCTATTCATTGACAATGTCGTATCTACCATTTATCGTAGAATTTGTCTTATTCGTCATCATTTTTGTTTAAACAGTATGAAATGGATTCGCGACAGAGTTTTAAAGTTTCTCGGACTTGGTGGACAGGGACATCTTTTCGATCAGCTCATTAGCGTAATTAACCTTCCTCTGTATGTCGCTTTGGAAATTAGGCCGAATTAACATTGATCCTTTTTTCTTTCATAATTAGGCAAATAATCGGTATTTCGAGGACAAGCTGCTCAACTTTCTGATACTGGACCTATACGGAGTGACCAGTCTGGAGAAGAAGCTGATCTTTTTCTATAAGACCTACGTTAGTGAAGTAGTTCAGGAGGAGGTCTCAGTATGGGAGGAAAGTAAGCTGACGCGTTCTCTTACGGAGGGCGTGTTCTATCGGATGTTCGTCAGGCGATAGATTCGGTTATCAACATGGAAAGAAAAGCTTGATTGAATTAACCCAATTTCCGATGGAATATTAACGAGACAAAAATTCCAGTTGAAGTTATCAGAATTCTGTTCAAGTCAACAAGAGTTCTGGTTAATTTGAACAAAATTCTAGTAACTTTAACTAGAATTTTCTGATTGGTTCATGTTCCAGCGGAAATTTGGTTAATCCAATCAAACGTTTTTTTGCCTAAATCCTTTATGGATCTGAAAGATATCCTATATAGAAATTATAATTTATCAATTAACAGTGACAAACATTATGGCAGCATGACATAATTGTTCAGAGTATGCGACACTTGTCTTTGACTTCAGGTCAGCGCGCAAAAATAACAGCGTTGACCGCATTCGCCTCGAAGAGCAGAACTCACAGGTTAACAAAGAGTGTTCCCGGTAAAAGTCCCGCGATTTTTGCAATTACACAGCACCCGCCAGAGATTGCACTTTGTCTCTAATACCCCACGTTGCACAATTTTCAATCCCACGTTAACGTATCGAGAAAAAGAGAGAAAGAGAGAGAGACATATGATTTCTCCAAGGCATTTAGCAGGTAGCGGCAGTAGCAGCAGTAGATTTACGATTAAACGTGCATTTAAGAACGTGATTCATGCGTATTTAACACGTGTACTTAACTACACCTAGCAAAAAAGCGTCACCAGCTGCCATAAGACGCTTTCTTTTAGATCAAGTAGTTTCGAAAACCCGAGGTTCACCTTTGTTTTTTGCTTCGAAGGTACTCAAGGTGGTATAATAGTGATTGTCTCACCCTGTATAATTAGATGTCCCGTGGTTTGAAATTCTACTCTTAACATCTGCCTTTATTTCTTCCTTTCTTATGTGTAACTCTTAAGATAAAGATCTTAAAAGGTAAAAACTTATTGCAATATCTATTTTAGTCCTCTTTTTTATGTGAATTTTTTAATCGGTGCGGAGAAAGATAGATGAGTGATGTTCCTCACTAATATCAGGAAAATTCGAGAAACTCGACGACGACAAGAAACGGGACAAGAAGCTCGCAAAGAAAGCCAAGAAGGACAAAGCTAAAGGCGGCAAAGCGGACGTCAGTCCAGCTTCTAGTTTGGCAGTAAGCCCCAGTACATTACAAGCATCCAGTGTGCAAGTATCCAGCGAAGATGACGCCAAGGAAGACGACGACGAAGACAGAGAACAGGACGGAGAGCTTCTCAAAAAGAAAGAGGAGTCGAAAAGCACGCTCCCCGGTTAGTTATGTATCACGTTGCAATTTCGTAGATTTGTCATAACAGTAAAGTAAAAGTATCAATGCCGGGACACGTACCTAATCCTGTACATTCCTAATGTCTTGCTCATATTGAGTATTTGTTATGATTTTGGACAAATCACCGCACATTTCTTTTCAATTAAATTCAACTTAGTTCAATTTTGTTTCATACAAAATTATTATCTTGTTGTTTGAATAAAGTTTTACCTTTCACCGTCAAATGCATTTTTCTCGAAAACCACCTTTCAAAATTAAACAAGAATATTTTTTCTTTAGAAAAAAGTTTGAGAAATCTAAAGTAAAAAAATTGAAAAATCTTACCTCAGAGTTTCAGGGTTAAGAAATTTAGGGGTAGTTTCTTCTCTTTGGCTGTCTAACGTAATATCAAACGATCCTAACGACCTTCACTTAATAGAAAAATGATACAGAAATTATGAAAATCTGACAAGTAATATAAAAGTTAATAATTTATATATAAACTTACATTCACCTTTACTGAAACATCCTGTATATGTACATATACTGAATGTATATATATATATATATATATATATATATATATATATATGTATATATATATATATATATATATATATATATATATATTCTTAGGTACGTGTTCTTAGGTCAGTGTTCAGTGAAATTTTTATCTAAAGTGACAACACGTAATGATTAATGGTTTTCAGATAGCTCCGACTTTGTGCCGCCATCTGGAGAAGAGGATAAATATGTTCTGACTAAGGTTATTCCGCGAAGAGATGTATTGATTTGTTATATTCATTTGGAACTCTATCTCTGCTGTTTGTGCAGAATGGGTCGCCTGTCCATTATTCCCAAACTTATTCGAGGCAATAAGTTAAATCTTCTTTACAAAAGGATCGAATCCCCAATCGCGCTCGTCGGACATGACACTTAATTCTATCTTCGTCGTCGATTGACGCTGACCGCGGGGCAACCGATTTCTTGTCTCTCCCCGGTTGCAATCTCGAAGGGAGACGAACAATCGATTAAACCGCGATCAAAGCGAACCGGCGAAACCGACCATAAAGCAACGCGATCTGCGATGATTGCAGAAAATGGTGGAGAAAGTCCGCAAGGCGCCGGTAATTCACATGATATGCGGCGAGATAGACGGCAGTAGAACCGATCTGCGCGACGTTACTCTCTTCTATTTTATGCGCACCACCGACGAGGGTATACCTTTCTTCGACACCTACGAAGAGTGCCTCGATGATATTACGAGTTACCTGGTTGTCGGGTCTCTCGACAGCAGATTTCTGGCTTCTCTGGATAGGATGCTGACTGACGTAAGGATCGCTCAATATAATCGCGAGTGATAATGCCCCTTTCACCGGCCGATCATCTTGCCATTAATCCTTTCGCAATTGCGGACCATCTGCGATACATCCAAGTAAACAAAGAACATTAGAACAAAGATCAACATCTTGAAATATTGATTTTACGCATATCACTTGGACATTTTCGTTTAATATTTTGAAATTCAAAGATATTATGTTAGGGATGATACGATCCCTTTGAATATTGCAAAAATGTTTTAAAAATATTAAAGTGTTGAAGTTATTCGTATATAATATTGCTATAACGTTAAAAACTATATATTAGGAAACGTTACATGTTACTAAATATCGTTGCAATAATGTTCCATTAATGATTTTTTGCTTACTGGGATCGTACCATAGCTTTGTCTATCTGAATACACGAAATACTAAAATAGTTGATGAAAAAATTCCTAGAAAAATATTTTACTTATTTTGATAATAAGTAGATGGACATATAAAGATAATAGAATTTTTTTGATAATATATGGTTGTAAACATCTAGATATCTCGGTGTCAAAAACTTTGAAACAGAGAGAGAGTAGTAAATAATAATAATGTACAAAACCTCTGAAATTGTAGGTGTTCAAGCCATTGGTGGAGAAACAATTCAGAGGACCAGATTTTTACGAACGATGGAAATTGGAAAAGGAAGCGGAAACGCCTGTTATCGAGAAAACAATATCAGCACTAGAGAGTATAGAATCTCGAGTAAATAAAATATCATTTACTTAAACACATGCGACTATGACAATAGATTCGCATAGCCGTAATCGCAAATTAATGAATGAAATTTACAGCATTTTATTGTATTTTACTATATAATTACTATGTAAAAAATATAATGTAACTGACGACCCTGTCTTAATATTTCACATCTTCTAATCTACATCGATAATTGGAATCACTAAATCGTTAATAGTGATAAATTTCTGCATTTTATTTGTTCGTCAAAGAGTGCCGCACTAAGAAGACCATCCGAGTTCCGGAGAGCGTCAGTATTCGTTTCCAGACCGGATTTGAATATAAGAACAGGCAGGCAAGACGAGGAAGACGACGTGATCTCTGCGTCCAGTTTGCAGGACGACGTTTCAAGAAGTAAAAGATCAAAATCCAGCTTGAGAGGAAGCGGCAAGAAATCATCGTCGGACTTGAAGTCTAGTAGATCGGCTGATACGTTGAAGGAGACCATGAGAGATCAACAGAACAAGAAGGACATTCTAAATTATCTTGACAATTTGATTGAGAGCGTGGAATGGTTAGCATAGCTTTCTCGTAACAAAGATTAATGGACGCTATCGTCGTAATGATTAATTTTTCTTGTCCGGCAACGGACACGTAATCTGGGTTCTGGTAATGTAGGACGCTGGAGCACATCGAAGGTGATATTTTACTGACGATGCCGACCATTCCAGAGCTGCAGGACCCAGCAATAACAGACGATATGTTGCTGAAAAATCAAGATGTCGTCCAACAGATGGAAGAAGTGGTCATATTGTGGGGGAAACACATACAGAAAGTGAGCGACTCACTATTACTTTCCCTATACTTTTTCTTCTTAAAGAAGGATGTTCTTCCATGATTTCTCCGTGTTCTCCTTGTTACTCGTGGCAGAACGCGATATTTTGCAAGTTGATGATTGTCGATATTATAAATAATTGTAGAAATATTGACAGACGCCTGTTAAAGTCTGAAATCAACAGAAGTCAAGTACTAAATGTTACGATATTTTACTTCATTATCGCGGTCAATCAGGTGATGGAATCGTACACGAGCAAAGTGCTTCCGGAGAAGGGACCAATGGTGGATTATGGATACTGGCAAGATTGCGAGACCGGATTAACGATGCTAGTGGAACAACTGAAGATGCCAGTCGTTAAGCGGATTTTCGCGCTCCTCGAGCAGATATCCTCGCCGATCGCCTCCAGCTTTCAATATTATCAGATGGAACTCAGGAAACAGTATGTCGAAGCTCGAGATAGTAATAAATTCATGCAAACGCTGCTGAGACATTTCAAGGTAATAATGAAGAATTCATGTTCATTTTTGGATGAGCTTAGAGGTACCTTTGGGAGTCAATCGTGAATTCTTTTTTCTAGCATAAACTTGTGAGAAGTAAAAGTTTTATAACTTGAAAGCATTTAGAAATGTTTACTTTTCACGAGTTCAGATAAACAAGAAAGATTCATGATTGCCCCCCGGGTCGATCACGTTAAGTTAACTGCAAATATATCAAACGATATGCGTTCATAATTTGTCCGAGAGAATATTCCAATAACATATTACAGTACATTATTCATAATAGACAGAATCTTGCTAGTTATTTAGATTACTAGTTATATTGTTTTTTATTAATAAAACTGAACATGCAGAGAAGATATCTAATGATAACATCTCTCGTGTAAGTGTAGATTAGATCAAACTGAACAAAAGAGTCCTCTACTGTTTTGCAAACAACCACGTTTTTTTAATTATTAATTAAAGAAAATTGTAAAGAAGATTTTTTAATTATTAATTAAAGAAAATTGCCGAATATTCACGTACGATTGTTAGCCAATCTTCTTTAATTAATACCTCAAAAATCTATACTAAGAGAAGTTATCCCATAAAAAATTAATAAACGGATATTTCCGATAAAAATATTAACAAATTTTTGTATCCGATAAAGAAACATTCAATGAGAAATTTCGGTTTATATTTTCTGTTTGACTTGATTATTATAAATGAAACGAAAGCAATAATGTGCATTTTGGCTGTTTATTAACATCGTCCACAGTTGATTACCGAATCGGATTCGTTCGAATCTATAGCGGAGTGCATGCCTTCGCTGACGGAGGGACTGCGGATGCTTTGGGTGTTATCCAGTTATTACTCCTCCGAGGAGAGATTGACGTCGCTGATGGGCAGGATATCGTGGCAGATCTGCCAGAACGTCAGGAAGAACTTGGCGATCGTCACGTTATTTAAGAAGCCGTTGGAAGTGGTCTTGGAGAGAACGAATTGGGCCAGCACGATGCTGAAGCAATGGAAGCGATCGTATTTGAAGACCCGAACCGACATCGAGCTATTGGGAAAGGGAACTCGTTGGGAGTTCGATCAGAAGCGTCTCTTCGAGGCCACGGAGTACATCGCCGATGTCTGCAGCGACCTCCACAAGATCGCCAGCGTCCTGCAAGACTTTTACAACATTTTTGGAGCAGACCTCAAGTCCATCATAGACGACCCCGCGCAGATCGACACTGTGGTGAAGCGAGTGGACGCGCTGGTGATGCCGATTGAGCAGGCGGACTTCGACATCTTCAACGTGTACAACAAGGAGAACTGGGAGGCGATGACTACGTGGTTCTACGAGGAGGTGTTGTTCCTCGAGGACCAAGCGAAGTTCTACATCGACGAGTGCTTCAACGTCTTGATCAGCGCCGAGAACGCGCTCGAGATGCTGCTCAAGTTCAAGGACACGAAGACCCGCGCGGCCGTTCAGCAGCAGCTGCTCAGGAAATTCGACTTCATCATGCAACAGTTTAGCAAGGAGATCAATACGGTGGAGAATATATATCATCGAGGCAAACGGCACCCACCGTTGCTGACGTACCACCCTCCGATGGCGGGCGCGATTTTCTGGGTGAGGCAGCTGTTTCACAGACTGCACCGACCGGTGCTGATCTTCCAACAGGTCCGCGAGCTAAAGCACAGCGAATTGAAATTGCTCGCGTTCAGCCAATATCTCGATATTGCGAACCAGTTGAAGGACTTCGAGGAGGCTAAGTTCAACACGTGGCTTGACAATGCGCTACTCATGATCACCGCTACCATGAAGAAGAGCGTATTGAGAATAGTGCACGTCGAACGCGATTCCCCTGTTACTCTGACCTTCCCAGACGAGCAGCAACCTTCGAAAGAGTTACAACTGATCCATCTATCGTCGAAAACCAAACACAAAGACGTGGGTTCCCTCTTGTCGACTCCACGAGGATCGCTGCTCAAGCACAATGCTATAATATCGAAGCCCAGCGCGGAAACGACCACCTCGGACGTTGCAGGGTCTAGAGTCATATCTGCACAATTATTCCCTGAAGCAAGATCCGAGACCAAAGGGATGCCGCACAAGGAGCAGAAAGCCTCCACTATGTCTTCGGACAAGCATGATGTTCGCGCGAAGATCAGCTGGACGGAGTTCATGAGCGGCACAATTCTGGTGGAGTGTCAGTTGCGTTTTCAGCTGAACTTCGACCTGGAGGTCTTCGAGGTCATCAGAGAGGCGGAACTGATGGAGCAGTTGGGCTTTGAGCTGCCCGCAGCCTTCAGGGAAGTCGGCATTCAGAAAAATCGACTGAGAGCAGACATTGACGTCACCGAGAAGATGGTCAATCAGTATAATAGCGTCGTGGACGCATTAGAGAAGAGTGACATACAATTGCTGAAGCGTACTCTGCAAGATATCGAGAGACACCTTCAGCCGGGCGTAACGCGATTTAACTGGAACTCCTTGAGCATCTCCGATTATGCGTCCACTTGCGGCAAGATGCTGAAGAACTTGAACTCCATCGTCGAGCAAGTCAGTCAGATGAAGCGGGACCTCGACAGCCGAATAGAGTCCGAATTGCAATCGTACCATCTGTTTTCTACGAAGAAGGAGATCGCTGAGTCGGAAGATCTCTTGCCATGCAAGGTATCGAAATAAGTCTGTTCTCAATTTTCGACTCTTCCTTAATAATTGGGCTTCCATTACATTCATATGAATACAAATGTGTCAATAGAATCAATTTTTCTTTTTCATAGGAGAAATTAAATATGAATACTTTTTCTTCTCAGTTGTCATATTTTCATGGCATATAATCATAAAGAAAAGTGGAATTGTGTGATATCCTTGCATTACATTATTTTATAATATCATTAATATATTTGTGTAATACACGTAATTTATGGCACTTCTAGAGAAGTTATAATTAATTTTTATATCTTCACAGATAATTTATTGATTGTTACAATCAATTTTTTCTTCGCAGCTTTATTTTCTAGAGATTAAAAACCGGCGTTCCGAGCTAGTATCGTCGATGTCGAGAGCATACAAATCGATCAGTCCGATGCTCATGAAGTTAGAAAGCTTAGTGCTGGGTACTTCAACTGGGAAAAGTCCAGATATGCAACTTTTGTATGAAAAATATGAGAAGAAAATTTTCGCCGCTTTCATAATGTATATATCTTTCTTACTCTCTGTTAAACAATAACTGTTTTCTCTAAATAAATAAGTATATAATATGTATACATGTTTAGATGCATGTTAAGGAACATGGAAGTTCTGAACAAAATGTTAAGCAGGCCTAGGCCGTTTTTCCAAATTGACGCCGTATTAATGGCATCCGAAGTGGTACTGCGTCCGTCACCCAGCGAGATCTACAATATCATTTGTCATGACGTGCGAGACCTATTGGAGAGACTAAAAGGATTCTCCAGATGGATGAATGGAACCTGCTTGGAGTGTGAACCACTCCAGAAAAAGGAGCTTTCAGAGGATTTGATCACCTTCAGTTTCTTCGAGGACGTGATGAGTGTTAGAGTTGAGTAGAGTACTTGCAAATTCACACCATAGAAGGAGGAGGGCATACTAGGTGGCGGCGGAACGCCGTGCGTTCGAGATCTGCGTATCTTTTTCGTCCTAGAAAGAGAAAAATATCGAGAGCGCGGTCTTGTTAAGGCCGGGACTCGAACCCGGGTCTTTCGCTTGCCGGACGACTGCTCTAAACCACTGAGCTACCTGACGCTCCACGCTCACGACACTCTCCTCTTCCTAGATAACGCTCAGAGATGCCGTTCGGAAGCGACATCTCTGGCGCGATCCCGAGCGCACGGCGACTACAGAGAGAAACACCAAATATTTGTTACTGTACCAAATGGTACAGCTGTCAGTCTCTCAAAGTCAAAGGTTGCTATCCTGTTGTGTTGAAGTTTTTTCAGTAAATCTTCAAACGAAGTATTCTTCAAGTATTCCCTAATGACGAAGAATTTGCCCTTGTCCCCAATTTGTTGCTCTTTTCCCCAATTTAAAGACTTCTATTTAAAACTATCTCAGGTAGTTAACGAGCTCATAAAGCTGGTTCAAGATACGGCATACAAGTTATCGATGGATTGCTGGCGGTATCTGTACAGATGGAGGAAGTATAGCAATTTGTGGTCGTTCGATAAGAATCTAGTCTGCGAGAAATTCGATGCGACGAAGCCTACGCTTCCGCAATACGACGAGAAGTTCACGTTTTACGAAGGCGTTTTGGAGGAGCTAGCGGATATGGAGCTTTACTTCGACCTGAACAGTATACGGTAAAGCGGTATCGACGAGGATGATGCCAGACTCTTATTAATATATTAAAACGATATAAATTTTATCAACGGAGAGAGCATCAACGAAATTCACATGCCGATCTTACAATAACAAATCTTTCCTTTCTTCCTCATCGAAGTGTGTGTATGAAACACAAATTAATTTCTCCCGACTATTAGTTTTGCTTCGTATAATTCTACAGTTACGTATATCTTGACTTATATCACTTTTTTTCCAAAGTATCAACTTGAAACCGCTCTTATCCGGCATCGAGCGTCACGCGAAGGAATGGAAGCAAGTTCTGGGGAATTATCTTATATCCGACACGGTGCAGGCTATGAGCCATTTGAAAACACGCATCGAGAACTTCCAGCGCGAGATCGAATTGGTGATCACCGGACTGGATCGCTACACGATGATCATGCAGACGATCGCCGAAGTGAAGAGAGTAGCCATCCAAACTGAGGTGGAGTTTCTCTCTTATCAAGAATGCTTTCAAACCATGCGCGCCCATAGGATCGAGTTTTCCCCGGAGGACGAGGCGATGGCGCATAAACTGCAGCACGACTGGGAAGCGTTGTACCTTGAAGCTCTCTACAGAGCTTCGACCTTGGAAAGCACTAGCGACAAATTTTGCGAGATGACCGAAGACCAGATCCGACGATTGCTGAGCGAAATCGCGGAGTTTGCTGAAGATTTCGAGAAGCACGGTCCGGGAAGCGTCGGAGACGATTTGGAGCTCGGGCTGAAGAAAATGGAAGTAAGTACGCATTATGTTGGTCACACAAATAAAATAGAAGACGAAATTATAGTAATAATCATTTTTAAGAATGAAGTGAATAACATAGACTCTGTATTTTTTTAAATATCTAACAACGTTTTCCTATTTGCCGTTTAATATCCAAAATTCTTGCGAGAATTTCATAGAAAATTGGTGAATCTTTTGCATCAACTTAATAATAATGTCACACTTCTTACAGAGATAAGTCGCGACTACAAGCATGGTCTCTCGTGTGTTTACAGGAATACGGCAAGCTGATCGACAAGTACGAAGAGAAACGCGCGAACTTGGCGAAGTCTGAGGTGCTGTTTGATCTACCACCCGTGGATTACTCAGCCTTCTTCAAAGTCAAGAAGGATTACGAGAACATGGGAATACTATACGATCTCTACAAACAGCAGAGGAGCGAGCGAGAGACTTGGGCGAAGACTCTGTGGGTGGACTTAAATCCTCAGCAGCTTATCGACGGTATGGAGCACTACATGAGGGAATTTCGGCGACTGCCGAAGTTCATGAGAACCATGAACGTCGGATATGCCCTGGACGCCGACATGAGGAACTTCCGGAATTCGGTGCCGCTCTTCATCGAGTTGAAGAACGAAGCTATGCGAGATAGACATTGGCAAGAACTGATGAAAAGAACCGGACAATATTTCGATATGGATCCGGACAGGTGTGAGAGCGATATTGATAGTTAAACGAGTGCTAATTAAATGTGTGGAGGAACTAAAAGTTTAGTAGACAGGTCCAACTTAAATAATGCGGACTATCAAACATTATTGTGTTATTACCCACATAGCACGTAATATTACAGTAATATCACAGTAATATTGCAATATCACAATAATTAGATGTTACCCTTATAGAAATATCATACTAAGAATCATTGATAATTACTTATTTTCAGTATTAAAAATACTGGATAATAAGTAATTATCAATGATTCTTAGTATGATATTTCTATAAGGGTATAATGTAATATTACAGTAATATTGTTGTGTAATATATTAAATCCTAAGTAACAAGATAATGTCAAATAACATTTTCATTACATCATTAAAATGTTATTAAAACATCATGTAATGTTACTTGGCACGTAATATATCGTATTGAATAATATATTTCAAAAGTAATATATTATTTTGTAATATGACAAATATCTTTTTTGTTAATATTATTCACAAGAGGAACTTCCTTTCTTCGAGTTATTGATTTTACCGAACTTTTATAGGAATATAATATTAGTATAGAAGTAATAAATGCTATTCGGAGACTCTATGCAATTCTCAACCGTTTATAAGAAATTGTGGTTTGCGCAGCAGACTAGGCGCCATGCTATGAGTCTGTACGTTAGGTGTTCCGAGCTGGTTCGAACCCAATTCAGTTTAGTTTTTTTTTTATACAGTTTTTTATTGGTGCGAATAAAAATATGTAATATATAATACGCAGACAAAACCTTTATACAATCGAACATTTTTATTACAACAATGTCTGTGATATATTACAGTAATATTACTGTGATGTGTTTTCGCGGACATTGTAATATTACCGTGATATCTCAGTAATATTACAGTAATATTTCTGCTACATTTCATTGTAATATTGCAATGGAAATGTGATATTACTGTGATATTACTGTAATATTACATGCTATGTGGGTACTTTGTATTTCTGTCTTTTATCACTATATGCAAATGGCGAATATATTTTTGTTCTTTTTTTACTTCGATTTTGACAGTTCTTTACTTCGATCCATAGTAACAATATCCAATAAGATAAAAATACCAATGTCTGGACATGCATACTTAATCCTGGACATTCTTATTGTTTTGGTATCTAAATATGAATATATATTTAAAATTTATAAACTAAAATAACTTTTAAATAAACTATATATACATTGAATATATATTTAGTATACACATATATCTTATGTTAAAAATTTTAATATTCGTATTTAAATACCAAAACAACAAGAGTGTTCAGGATTAAGTACGTGTCTAGAAATGTGTACTTTTATTTTAAACACCAACTAATATTACATCAATACTATAATTTGTCTCTCAACAATGTAAGTGCAATATAACATGATGTATGTAATAGTTACATTGTTGAGTGTGAAGTTATAACATTGATGTAATATTATTGACAGTTAGTATATCTACTGCTTATTAAACTCGTCATTTATAACGAGTTTACACGAAACAGAGAAAGGAATCTGAACGATTCTATCACGAATAAGAAAAGCTGTTAGTCGTGCAAGCGTATGTCTAATCGATCACGACTCGACTCGTCGTCCAAGTCGGTAATAAAAGAGCAACATAGACGCTTGTAAGAATGCATGCCAAAGAGATTATTTTTTTTATTTCATGTCGTTACGTCGTCACGTCCGCATTATTGTACTAATATAAATCTGACATTATTCTTCTGTGAAATAAGGATTAATTAGCATAGTCATGGAATTGTGAGATACCGATTTTTGTCTTTGCATTAAAGTGGAAATTAATTTACGTCAAAGACCAATGGAAAACCTTGGTTTGGATTTGTGATACAAAGCGTCAACTTTGTGTGTGTTTTTAACGGGCAAAAATGCAATTTAAAAAGCAAGGAAAATAATAATGTGGGAATTTTTTACTTTGATTCTGATATATTTGAGAATTGATCTGTTCTGAGTGTTAATTTGTTTCACAGAATTATATAAAAAGAAAAAAACAATCATAGTCTATCGATTTAACTATCGCTAACGGCCAGTGTATAGACTCTTCCTTGAGTGTACTTGAGTTATATTATTTATTTTGTAAAAACATAACCAGTAATACACAAGGACCTTTTTATACAATACAAAAATGGCGCAAGGACAATCACTTACAATAGAAGGGTAAGCCCGTTGAATCGCGTTCTTTGTTCACTTTGACAAGAAATACAAAATATATACAAATCGATATTGAATTATTCCAGATTTACCTTAGAGAACATGTTCGCTATGGAGCTGGGAAAGTATCAAGAAATTGCTCAAGGTATCGTGATGAACGCCGTGAAGGAACTTGCGATTGAAAGAGGCGTGAAAGAATTAACGGAAGTGTGGAAATCCACGGAATTTAACATGATCAAACATTACAAAGGTATACCTAGTAAACAAAGAACATTAGCATAATAAAAATTTAATGCATAATAAAAAATTTAATAGTACAATAAAAAATTTAATGATTATTTAATAATTTAGTAAAAATAATTTAAGCAATCGTAATTGAAACGTATAATTTTATGGATATCGGTTACATCTTCAGGCACAGAAGATCGTGGCTTTATTCTGGGCCCACTTGATGAATTGAACGTGATACTAGAGGACAATATGTTGAACGTACACAACATGGCAGCCTCCCAATTTATCGGACCGTTTCTTAGCGTCATTCAGAAATGGGAGCACACGATGCACAGGATCGCCGAAGTTTTGGAGTTGTGGGTGGATCTTCAACGGAAATGGCTGTATCTCGAGGGTATATTCGTGGGCGGCGACATCCGTCTTCAGTTGCCAGACGAAACGAAAAGATTCGACGACATCGACAAAGCCTTCAGGAAAATCATGAACGACACGTCAAAGAGGCTCAACGTGTTAGAATGTTGTACGATTCAAGGTATTGAAGAGAAATTCAATTGCAAATTATGAGGCTACTCATTTGTTGTATGTTTAGGCCGAAAGGAAGAATTCGAGACCATGATCGCAGCCCTCGGAAAGTGCCAGAAATCCTTGACGGAATATTTGCGCAATAAACGCGCCATATTTCCGAGATTTAATTTTATCAGTGACGACGAACTGCTGAACATCCTCGGCAGTAGTCAACCTACTGTCATCCAGGAACATGTTGGAAAGATGTTCGATAATCTTGACAAGTTTAAATTCGTGTCGAATAACACGGATAGAATGCTAGTGACGGCTCTGATATCCTGCGAAAGGGAAGTTATGGAATTCAAGAATCCTGTGAGCACGGAGGGCAACATTGAAATCTGGATGGGCTTTGCCCTCGAGGAAATGAAAAGGTCGAATCGGTACTTGACGAAGAAAGCGGTCTACGATTATGGCAAGGTTTACATTAGCGCAAATCATTGACGCACATTCATCAGTTATTTCTACACGGAGAAAATATAAGAAAAATGATATCAAAATTATATTTCTTTTTCTAATCTTTCTAAAGCTGGACTACACTGAGAGAAAAATTATATTAAAATCAACAAATATTTCCTTGGTGGGTGCCATTAACATATTTATTTATTTAAATCTACATTCTTTTTATTTAAATCAAATATTGTTTATTTAAATCAACTAAACAATATTTGATTTAAAGAGAATGTAGATTTAAGTAAATATATTAATGGCATCCATCAAGGAAATATTTATTGATTTTAATATAATTTTTCTCTCAGTGTATACTAAAATTGTAATACAAAATTATTATAGAAATTACTATAAAAATTACTATAGAAATTTGATGACTTACTTGGTATACAATATAAAAAACATTCAAGTAATTATAATAATTTTGTAGTAAAAAATCAAATGTGTATGACGTTTTTAAATATATATAGTAATTTTTATCATAATTCTGTATGGTCCAAGATTATACAAATTTTGTTACAATTTTACTACAATATTTTCTCCGTGTACTTTGAGTTTTCTAATAAAATTTTTTTCCCTTCTACACTGAAAGAAAAAGACAACTATGATGGCAATAATAAAGTAACAGCTATACGAGTTTTATATAAAATTAACGTATATAGATCAAAAAATTATTTTTTAATTATTGCAACTAAAACTTTAGTTGCCATTACTATATGTTTCTCTGAATATATCTCTTTTGAGTGAAATTTCTTCTTTTCATTAATGTATTACACCGTGAAGCAATATTATGAAATTTCCTAATTTTTTCACGATTAATTATATGTAACGTTCACAATTTTATTTAATGAAAAAACTATCGTTGCAAATGTAGATGCAAATGCCAAGAACACAGTGGATACTCGAATTCCAAGGAATGATGGTTCTCGCTGCCAATCAAATATGGTGGACCGCGGAGGTCGAAAATGTTTTCGATAAGATATCTCAAGGGAATAATCGCGCGATGAAACAGGTAATATGTGCGAATTGTAAATATAGAATTTATTCGAACAAAATATACATATACAAAATATTCCGTCTCTATTATGTTACATTTTACAACAAATTTTTATATTTCTATTATGTGACTTTTTACAACAAATTTTTATATTTCTTCTTTATATGTAGTATTTGCAACAACTCAATCATCAATTAGATGAACTGGTGACGCTGATGGGCAGCGCTACACTTACAAACAAGGATAGGAAGAAAATAGATATGGTTCTAACAGTCGACGTACATATCCGCGATATTATCGAAGGTTTCATTAGAGACAGCATTACGGATTCCACGGAGTTTGAATGGGAAAGTCAATTAAGGTAATTTATAACTGGTACACGTTCAAATGTGTGTGCAGTCCTCTTCAATTGTTATTTATCACACAAGATATAGTAACGAGCTTTATCAGTTTTTTTTCTGTTAAGGATATTCCTATTAAATTAATAAATATTTCGCATTTGTAACTAACTACTCTGAAAAACGAAATACCTAAATAATAGTAAAATTTCTTTAATGGGTATTAATAATACATATTTTGAATTTAAATTCTCTTATTTAAATAGAATAAACGACTACTCTTTTTCATGCATGAAAAGTTAAGATTTTCTTAAGGTTTTAAGAAAATATATATTCTCTTACTTGAAAAATGTTTCATATATTAACATAAATACATATGTTATTTTAATACCCACCGAATAAATATTTACTATTTTTAGATATTTTTTCTTTCAATGTACAATAATTTTATATAAAAGATATGTGATTGTAATGTTGATTCGAATGATTTCACGCAATGCTCTTGTCGTTACTGAAATCAGCGACGAACTATCTTTTTGTATGTGCACGTACAGATTCTACTGGGTTCATCATCTGGATAATGTATGGATGAACCAATGCACAGGTGCCTTCGAATACGGCTACGAGTATATGGGCCTTAATGGCAGATTAGTAATTACACCTCTGACCGACAGAATATATCTCACCATCACTCAAGCTCTCTCGATGCACTTGGGCGGTGCACCGGCAGGTATGTGAACTCACAATCGCGACATCGCAGTTACGAATTTCTTACCGAGTATAACAGCTTCTCATTGAAATGTAGTTCTCAGTCAAGTGTAGCGTAACTAATGAATTCGGAATACTTTACATTAACGCGCTGCATAAATATAAATAGGGTAATATTTTTCATTTTCCAATCAATACTATCGAAAGAAATGCCTCTTTTGCAATAAGTATTCCGACACTTCAATATCAAGGCCCAGCTGGAACTGGAAAAACCGAGACAGTCAAAGATCTGGCTAAAATCTTGGGACTCTTATGCATCGTCACTAATTGTGGAGAAGGAATGGACTATATCGCAATCGGGAAGACCCTGGCTGGTCTTGCTCAGTGCGGGGCATGGGGTTGCTTCGACGAATTCAACCGTATCGACAGCTCTGTTCTTTCTGTCATCTCGACACAGCTGCAGACTATACGTTCAGCGCTGCAAGTTAAGGCTCAGAGATTCATGGTATGCTCGCACGAATATCAAAAGATAGAAGATAAATAACAACGAGAGCGGCACGGAACTAAATTATAATTAAAATCAAACTGTTCGCGAGAAAATGACATAATTTTGTAAGGAACATTTTGTTGAATTTCTGCTCTAAAACTATTTCTCTAATATTGCAGCAGTTACTTAAATTATGTAAATTTTATTTTCCTGTTCCTTTTGTCCATCTTTTTATTTTTCCATATCAGTACCAATAAGAATAAAATGATTCGATGTAACTTACAAGTAAACCTATCCAAAGGTTACACTCCGATTTCTTTCTAATTTGGCACAAATATAAAAGTACAAAAAATATTTAGATCATATTTTTTCATTTTGGCCCACTTTGAGTTTCACGGATAATTTATAGTTTTTTAATGTTCTCATTTCTATTAACAAATACAACAAAATGCATAAGAAATAAAATTGAATACAAGATATAGACGTTTTCGGTTTGCTGATTATGATATGAGGTCAAATGTGAAAAATTATTTGTATAAATAATAAAATGTTTAAACAAAACATGTAAAAAGTTGAACAAATTATGCATACAAATAATTTCTCGGTTTGGCCGAGATTCTAACCATTTTTGACTAATTTAGCACAGATTTGAAATATTTTGGTTGGAATCTCGGCTAAAGAAATTTAGAATGGTTCGTGTCTCAGCTATGACGATTTTGTTAAAATTTTAATTAAAATTTCCGGATTTCGATTTGGCCGAGATTTGAACCATTTTTGAATAATTTAGCACAGATTTAAAATATTTCGGTTGAAATCTCGGCTAAAGAAATTTAGAATGGTTCGTGTCTCAGCTATGACGATTTTGTTAAAATTTTAATTAAAATTTCCGGATTTCGATTTGGCCGAGATTTGAACCATTTTTGAATAATTTAGCACAGATTTAAAATATTTCGGTTGAAATCTCGGCTAAAGAAATTTAGAATGGTTCGTGTCTCAGCTATGACGATTTTGTTAAAATTTTAATTAAAATTTCCGGATTTCGATTTGGCCGAGATTTGAACCATTTTTGAATAATTTAGCACAGATTTAAAATATTTCGGTTGAAATCTCGGCTAAAGAAATTTAGAATGGTTCGTGTCTCAGCTATGACGATTTTGTTAAAATTTTAATTAAAATTTCCGGATTTCGATTTGGCCGAGATTTGAACCATTTTTGAATAATTTAGCACAGATTTAAAATATTTCGGTTGAAATCTCGGCTAAAGAAATTTAGAATAGTTCGTGTCTCAACTACGCCAATTTTGTTAAAATTATTTAACTATATCTTGTATTCAATTTTATTTTTTATGCATAAATAGTTTTTGCATTTCTACATTTGTGCCAAATTAGAAAAAAATCGGAGTGCACCTTTTGAGTAGGTTTATTTGTTAGACGAACTCCCTATCTTGGTAATTCAACGACAGAAACTGTTCTCTGAAAGTTTGAAGGGCAAGACATCATGCTGGACTCGAAGATAGGGATTTTCATCACTATGAATCCGGGGTACGCCGGTCGTACAGAACTGCCGGATTCCGTCAAGGCCCTCTTCAGACCGGTGGTGTGCATAGTGCCGGACAATGAGTTGATTTGTCAAATCAAGCTCTTCAGCGCCGGTTTTCTGACGGCGAAACTGCTCGCCAAGAAGATGACAATCCTTTACAAGCTGGCGAGCGAGCAATTGAGCAAACAAACGCACTACGACTTCGGCTTGAGGGCCCTCAAACCTGTGCTAAACATGGCTGGTCAGCTGAAGAGAACTTCCAGCGACCTGCCTGAAAACGTCGTACTAATGAGAGTACTCAGAGACATAAACCTACCTAAATTTATATTCGACGACGTACCACTCTTCTTGGGTCTGATCAGGGACCTGTTTCCTGACTTGGAAGTTCCCAGAATGCACTACCCTGACTTCAACAAGGCGGTTGAGGCGGTGTTGGGAGAACACGGATATACCATCTTACCTGAACAGGTATGTGCTAAACATATCCCTTTCTGTTCAATTTATCGCGATGTTTGACTGTTTAATAGAATGTGTTTCGTCTTTTCGTTCAATCACTGTGAAAGTGAAAGTGATTCTTCATTAGAGATTAACACGTTGATAACTCTACTTGAAAAATTGCTAAAAGAATAAAAATGCAGAATTATTTAATTATATACATTTTCCTTATGCAATTCTATCAAATCTTTTAAGTAGGATATCACGTTGATTTTCATTGATTATCTCAATGGCCAACTCGAGTTTAAATTACGAGTTTAAATTAGATATGCAGTGAATAAATGCAATTCGTGATGCATATATTCGCGCAAACAAGTTCTACACATTGGCTCTTTATATACTTCGTTATGCACAGTTGGTTACGTTTCATACGTAAATTAGTCAGACGCGACGATGTTATAGTACCAATCATGGGTGACACCATGGCAGTCAACATATTAGTAAAAATTAACAAACATGATTGATAAGTTGGTCGCCATCAGGTTGACAAAGTCGTACAGCTGTACGAAGTGATGATGACCAGACATTCGACGATGATCATCGGCCCCACCGGCGGTGGTAAAACGGTGGTCATCGAGACATTATGCAGAGCGCAGACGCGCCTCAACAAGCCCACGAAACTGTACGTTTTAAACCCGAAGGTAATTAGCTATTGATAATAATATTAGGTGTACAACTTTACTTCCGCCGTTTTTCTATAGATGGCTTTAGCGGTAAGTGGTGGTCGAAATAAATAGATCATAGACGTCATACAATAAACTTAGGCATCTGTCAACATAACCCCATAGAAACATTAGTCGATTTGTGTCTGCATCATAAAGTTATTCTCGATTGAAAATGTCAGTTTACGAGCCAAATTCTCGTCATTTGCGGGAGGTTTTAATTTTCTGCTTCAATATGAAGAAATCTGCGGCTAACGCTCATCGAATGCTCTCAAATACTTATGGTGAGGCCGCTATTAGTGAAAAAACGTGTCGTGAGTGGTTTCAACACTTCAAGAACGGTGATTTTGACGTCGAAAATCGGCATAGCGGTGGAAGAGAGAAGGTTTTCGAAGATGCAGAATTGGAGGCATTACTTGATCAAGACGCGTGTCAAAATCAAGAAGAATTGGCACGATCATTGGGAGTGACTCAACAAGCCATTTCAAAACGCCTCAAAGCCATGGGAATGATTCAGAAGCAAGGAAATTGGGTGCCGTACGAATTGAAGCCGAGAGATGTTGAACGGCGTTTGTTTGCTTGTGAACAGCTGCTTGAAAGGCAAAGACGGAAGGGATTTCTGCATCGCATTGTGACTGGGGACGAAAAATGGGTTCATTACGATAACCCCAAGCGCAGAAAATCATGGGGAGTTCCCGGCCATGCTTCCACGTCGACGGCCAAACCGAATATTCACGGCTCCAAGGTCATGCTCTGTATTTGGTGGGACCAGCTCGGCGTAGTGTATTATGAGCTGTTAAAACCGACTGAAACAATCACAGGCGATCGGTATCGAACGCAATTGATGCGTTTGAGCCGAGCATTGAAAGACAAACGGCCGCAATACAACGAGAGACACGATAAAGTGATTTTGCAGCATGACAATGCTCGACCCCATGTTGCGAAAGTGGTCAAGACATACTTGGAAATATTGAAATGGGAAGTCCTACCCCACCCGCCGTATTCTCCAGACGTTGCTCCCTCTGACTATCACTTGTTTCGATCAATGGCACACGGCCTGGCTGACCAGCACTTCCGGTCTTATGAAGAAGTAAAAAATTAGATCGATTCGTGGATCGCCTCAAAAGATGACCAGTTTTTTCGACGCGGGATTCGTATGCTGCCCGAAAGATGGGAGAAAGGCGTAGTGGCCAGCGATGGACAATGCTTTGAATCATAAATGTATAACCAGTTTTTTACAATAAAGCCTCGAATTTCGGGAAAAAAACGGCGGAAGCAAAGTTGTACACCTAATAATAATAATACTCTTTCTCAGCTTCCATTCCGATAATTTTCTGAATCTTCTCGCGTTTCTCGAACTTATCAAGGCTTGCACCGTTATCGAATTGTACGGCACGCTGGAACCCATGACACGCGACTGGATAGACGGTTTGTTGAGCTGCATTTTCCGTGAGATTAATAAACCGCTGAGTTCCGACAATGACGAGAGAAGGTACATACTCTTCGACGGCGACGTCGACGCGTTGTGGATCGAAAACATGAACTCTGTTATGGACGACAATAAATTGCTGACTCTGGCGAATCAAGAGAGGATTAAGATGCAGGATCATTGCAGTTTACTCTTTGAGGTAGATAAGCGAATAAGCCTTACTTAAAAAACCCCATAAAGATTGATAGAAATATGTATAAATTTCATCGAAATACTGTATGACTTTGTCTGAACTTACCCATTTTTATCTCATTACATAACATAACGTGTATAATAATCAGATCTGGTTTCCGGGTTTGAGCTGCGTGAATTTTCCTTTGTCTGATTCCGACTTTTCGTATACAGGGTGAATATTATATACCGGAACACCTGAATATCTCGAAAACAAAGCGTTGTATAAAAAAATGTTAAATACAAAAGTTGTAGGGTTTAAAAAGATCTATTTTATGATATTAGCAGTTTGACCTTGA